GGATTTACACTTTTCACAAACATGTTTTTTGTATGAGGCAGACAGACCGGCCCAAATATGCGCATCGGCCCTTCGGGCATTGCCCGGTACGCCCGATGGCCAGTCCAGCCCTGCCATCAACACAAAGCCTTTTTGGGGATTGGCGCGCTCCATCGCAGGAGCCTCTCCGATCTGAAGGCCGCACCGGGGCCTAGGGCGCCAAACCTCCTCCCAATAAAATACTCAAAAGCTTCTTGTTTTCTCGTCTCTCCAAATTGAAATGCAGCCCGCGGAAATTCAATTTGGTAGACGTCAGCCAAAGTTACCCCCTCCAGGCCGGTTCACATCCCCAGCCTATCGCTCAACAGACGCCCCCTTCCAATCACCCGTACCGGCCAGGCAGCCGCTTAAAAGCGGAGAAACTCCCACTTCACGGCCTTCTCGAAGCCTGCAACCACCGCCTCCCCTCCTCCTCCTCTTCACCCTGCCTCCAATCTGCCTTCAATCTGCTTCCCGCTGCCAAATGCCGCCACCAGTGCCTAGGTCCCGGGGGATTGGCGCGCTCCATCGCAGGAGCCTCTCCGATCTGAAGGCCGCACCGGGGCCTAGGGCGCCAAACCTCCTCCCAATAAAATACTCAAAAGCTTCTTGTTTTCTCGTCTCTCCAAATTGAAATGTTTTGTGACCTGGTGATGAGTTGGGGTATAATGATGGGGATTTCTGATTTTATTTTGTAAATTTGCTAATGGGAACAGATATTACAAGATTAATCTTCATTCTGTTCCTTTTTGTTCATGTATGGATTTTAAAAAAAATGGTGTAATGGCCTGACATGACATGAGCAAATAAATAAATAAATAAAAGGGGTGCACTTGATACAAGATGCTGATTCTCTCTGAAACTTGAGCTGATAGGTTCTCATTAAAATAACTTCAAAGACATTCAATTTCAACACATTTATTTTATTTAATGAATTAAAAACATCCGTTTAGTAAACTTGTCAGTACAACCAAGGCATCACACCTGATGCCTGATCTTGGCAGATGTCAGGTCAGGGCCTGGTTAGAACTGTGATGAGAGACCTTTACGAGCACCCTTCAGAGGGCCAAACTGTCATTGTGTCTTTAGGCAAGACATTTTAATATGAGTGTGGTGTGTGTATGATTGATTGGTGATGCTTGGAGGAGTTGAGAGCATACTGCCTTTCTGTTTATCATTTCTTCTTCTTATTATTATTATTGTCACCATCAACACATGCTGGATGCAGGTGTTGTAATGCGAGGCTCTTGTCAAAATTAGCCCTATAGTTCTGACTTTCCTTATAGTTCATAAGTGACTATACAATTGTTATATTATGTATAGCTGGAGTATTCTTTTTATATTTCATGCAACCGGGTCGGGAAGCTTTTGCCTTTGTCCCCCAGAATGCTGTGCACTTCTGATTCTAGCAGAGTTAAGTTAAACTATCAAAGACCCCATTTTCTATTGATATCGAACACGTGTCTATCGCAAAATATACTGTTATTGTTTTTTTGCCCAGCCCTACGGGCAGCCCAACCGGCACAAGGCCCATACATTTACTGAGTGCATTCAAAAGTCCACAGCGGCTGGTATACGAAAAAAATAGTCCCCTCAGCATTGACACACATCTGGAACGTAGCGTTGAGCAAAGAGCCGCCTTTTGGACCGGGCTGTTTTTGTGAGAAAGAAGGTGTTGTAGAAATTAATAGGATAATTCTGTTTCCGGGTACGCAACCACCAGCAAGGAGTCAGATTACAAGCATGTCAGTACACAGGCTCATGGACTCTTTTGAACTATAGGACCCGCCCCCATTGGTGAAAGCACTGGTATGGCTGTCTATTAAAGTCGTTACTGCTCATTTGTTTTAATTTTGTCTTCTCTTTCTGTATGTTTTAAAATGGTCCTAGAGGCTGTGATAAATTGGGCCAGGAGACTTGTGTAGCCCCAGCGGATGTGCATGAGGGGCCAATATACAGTCTGTGAAAAGGGGACATGTGAAGCCTTAGTGAATGCGTATCAGAAGCCATGGGAAGTGTCCAGTGCGCGTCATGCCTAAGATGCTGATGAAGAAGCCCATCCCTGTGGTGACAAACAGCATGGTGGTGGTCACATTGTTCAGATAGTCCAGCCTCTTCTGCAGAGTGGGGGTGTTCACATCACGCCGACCTGTCACACATGGACGTCATGCAAAGGGAATTCTCTACAGCATGCAAGCACTTTTGTTTATGATCCAACTCATATAGTTTGTTACAGTGGGTTCAGTTAGCTCATGTAAGGTTGAAAATGTTTTTATTCTGTTACGAAGGTTTAACAAATGAGTGGTTTAACAGGATTATTTTATGTTGAAAGCTGGGTGCCTCATTTTAAAACCACAACAACAACAATAATAATAATAATGCAATACAATCCATGTCACATGTTTGGCTCTATAGTTTTCAAATGCATGTATTTTTGGCTTATGTCAGAACCCGAGATCAGCTTTTTTAGGCTGCTGCGATATTGTGCAATGTGGTCTGTATTTGTTATGCTTTTAAATAATACAAAAAAAAAATTAGCATAAACAACGTATTACACTGTGACCATGATGACGTCATAAATAGAGCTCCATACATACATTTTCCATCACTTTGCACACGGTGGGGGTATATTACTACAGAAGTGTGTCTGTGTCATCAGCCCCTGCACCACCACCACTCACTCATTCACCAGATTCATATATGTTTTGAGTGGTGAGGGAAACCAGTGCGACTGGAGGAAACCCAACCAGACGCAGGGAGAACACGTAAACTCCACATAGAAAGACCAGGGTCGACACGGGATTTTTGCTGTGAGGATGAGTGCTAGATTTAGGTCTTCATACAGTAGGATGTAATTTAGAAAGCGCTATTATTTAAAGCTGGAGTACCTAACTTTAAACCACAATAAATAACTATACAATAAAAGCCATGTAACTCATTCATCGCTCTCAAAACAGTTTGGTTATAACTAGTTGTCATATGCATTTATTTTTCAGATCAGCTCTGAGTATGTCACAGAAAACATGTTTTCTAATAAGATAAAGGCAGCATTTTGTGGTCCGATTTGTTCACAAAATGTTACTCAAACAAGACTCTATGTTTTGTATTACGAAAGACACGGATTAGCTAAGTACTCCAACTTTGTAGATTTTTAAGTTTGCTCTGTCATATCCAGAGGTGGGCCGACTTACATGTCAGATACTGTAATTGCTAATGCTAATGTATTTAGCAAGACAAACACCAGTTATCGGAGCAAAGCACATACAACCTCGCTGTGGAATAGTCCATGCTCAGCTCAATACATTGTGCACATGTGAATAATAGAAATGTTAATAATACTTTTTAGAAGATATGAACAAAGTGTCTCAATCAATGCAGAAACAGTATACAGAATAGAAAAGTAGAGGAAAATGTTCAAATAGAAATCGTATGTTAACAATTGTTCAGTCAAAACATGAAAATTAAAATTGCACAGCCCAAATCTGCAATGATTGAAACTGAATAAAGAGATACTTGACCAAATTCAATTAGAACACTCAATCAATCAAACTTGGAACACAAAAGGCGTATTTTTTAATTTATTTTTTAAAGAATCTTAAAATGAGTTAACTGAAATCTAGAATTTACATTTAAGTTAAAATGACAATCAGACTAGATGATACAAATATTAAAGTGTATTTTAAAAAAATTCATTAATAAAAGATAAACATTTGTCACAGATATTAGTAACATAAAAAAATGCATTAGAATTTTTAAAAATTCTAGAAAAGGAGCAATGGGTATAGTTAGTATGATATTCTTGAAATTGGTATAGAAAATTCAAATAGACTAATATTTCCAAATAAAAAAGCAATAAAAACGACCATAATGAGAAATCCCACCATCAAACATACTTAAGCACATAGTATGTAAAATGGTCTTTTTTGAGTTTTTAAACATGTTGCAACATTGTTCTTCATCAGTCGCAGATCTGGAGTCGTCTTGAGCTCCATCCAAGGCAATATCAGGATCTCTCGGTACAAACACTTTTTCAGTCTTGATATGTTCGTTAATATTATGTCATGGGGGTCTTGCCAAAGGACACAACAACAGTTTGGCACTTTACAGGAGCAGTTGCCGTGTTCCCACAGGTCTCCCATCAAAGTACTAACCAGCCTGCCCTGCTTAGTTTTGGGCATCTAACACAATCTTGCTTTAACTGGCAGGGGACAAACTTTTCTAATACGACTAAACCAGCATGTTGTGGTTTGATTTGTCCACAACAATTTACTTTTACAACACTGTTGAGACACACAGAATGTATTATTTACAAGACAAGTTAGTTGCTTCAAATTTAAGACTCAAAAATAAAAACAAAGAATTCATAAAATGCTTGGCTGAAAAGTTACACAGTTAACATATGCCTTGCATACTTTTTTCTGATGGGGTCAACTACTCGCTTTGTAAATGTTATGTAACTGCTTTGCTTCAATGTCCTTCAGCATAATGGGAAGCTTGTATGTCTCTACTGCATAGGACGACTCTCCTCTACGCCGATATGACCTGTATCCTGTTTGTCTTCAAAGAAGAAGAAACATTTTCACAACATTTATTACAGAAAATAGAAACCCTCCACCAGAAAAAGTGCACTGGCATCTTTAATAGAACTTTTCTTTGATTTTTAATTTCAGTGATGTTTAGAGTTTTCATTTCTCATGCTATTCAGCGTATGGCATATGCAAATGAGCGTTGCATATGTGCTGTACCTAGCATAAGCGTTGTCCCAATATTAAAATTTGAAACTCAGTACCCAGTTCTTAACACACATTTCATCACCACTGCAATGCTCAAAAAACAACAGGAAAAAGTTGCAATTTTAAATTACAGTTTCACACGGACATTTTTGAGGTATCAATTATTATTATTATTATTTTCATTTCTATATTAACTACTTTCTCTGATTTCATTCTGTGTGTCCATCTTTGCAGTGGCATTTGAGTGCGTCAGAAGTGAAGGCGGGCCAGCAGCCAGCGGAAAAAGCCCGTTCTCTTGGAGCCGAAGAAGCTGATGAAGAAATTGGTGACGGTGGTGGCGAAGATGAAGCTGGTGGCCATGTTGTTGAGGTAATCCAGTCTCCTCTGATTGGACAGCACATTCAGATCCCTGCGGGCTACACAAACACACACACAAACACACACACACGCACACATCCACGCACACATCCACACACACGCCCACATACGCACACACACATTTCATTCTTACTTTCATTTTAGTACTTTTCTAGGGCCCTAGGGCTTGTGGGGAACAGAATTAGCTTCTAGCATAATCAGCACAAGCACTTCTCCCCAACCCATCTGTCCAAATATTTATTTTTCAAACTCCTTTATCTTTTTTATGAACCTTGCCACTCACAATTAAGTCTGCTTTGGTTCCCAAAGTGAAGTTCCCTTTTCCAAATCCCGAGTTTGGAGGTTAATTAGCCGTGTGCTTACTACTACCAACAGCATCCCTTTTGCGTGATGATATCTTAAAACTAGGGATGTCCCTATCACTAGTTTTTGCCTCAGATCCCATATGGAAAAGATGAACAAACATTTTATAAAAGTTGTATGGGACTTGCTTAAAATGTTTACATTACACATATGAGAGTCAAACAAAATACACATTCCATAGAAAGATTGTATGCTCCAAATTATACACGGGAAATCATGTTTAAGCATTCTATAAAAAAATAATGTGAGGTTTGTTTGAATATCAGAGTTGATCCTTTGACAGTCAAATGCAACACAAAGTTAATAGTATTTTATAAGTTAAATTGTATAAGGAATGAATGCAGAAGAACTGTGTAAGCTTTGCATTTTATAACTAACACTTCAAAATCAAAATCTAGAGTTACATTTTCACTTCAGGCCTATATTCTGTATAACAACAGAAACTAAAGTATGTGATGGTAAAATGTAAGAGGCGACAGTGGCTTTGGCTTTTGACCCTGATATAAAAGATATGAGACATACTTGAAGTACTGCAAATATTGAAAAAGGTAGAAGTACCAAAAGTAATTTGTATGACTCATCATTATGAAAATCAGGCAAATAAAAGAACTGCTATTAAACCCTTATTACACACATTATTACACACATTATTACACACTTATTACACTATTACATACTCATTACCTTATGATGGTATGATGAATAGGAAACACACACATTATCGATAAACGTATAACATACAGATTTTATATTTATTACATATTGTAAAACTGCAAATTATACAAAAACTGTATACAATTTGTAAATTAACAACATAAAACACTATTTTTTGCCATATATGAAAGATGTGCAAAAGATGCCACTTTCAGGAGATAATCATAGAAAAATCATACGAAAGTCAAATAAAATGTGATGTGACATTTTTTTTAATCAATATTATGTGCAACTTTTCCACATGGGATGTGCCTGAGGGATCACACCATTGTGCAGTAAAGCTGAGTAAAGACATAGGACTGACATCTGAAGTGTTTTACTGATATCTGTAGTAAAACTTTTAGCTGAACATTTCCTTTGGTAGATTTACACAACGCTGTGTGCTCCGTTTCATGTTTAGTCAGCAAATGCCGAATCAGGTTTGTCTGTGGAATGTATCTAATCAACATGTTGCATACTTTGCATGTACTTGTTTTCTAATTAGAAATACTACCACACGTTTGACATGTTTTAACTAGTTTTAACAAGAGCACCACGCTGAAATGTTCCACTAACTGAGCTTTAAAATACTGCGTGCGCAGTTACCGTAAACAACTGCTTCTCCACAACAACAACTGTAAAGATCGAGTGAGTAGAGCGGGCAAACCCTGATCAGTCAAAAACCATGAAATATTGGCCCAATTCTGATATTGGATTGGGACAGCCATAGTTAATACTAATCAGGCCATTTCAACGGTACGCAGAAGTCAATGATTATCCACACAATGTTTTTGTGATTTGAAGGCCAAAGCCAACCTATCTATAGGAGGATCTTTGTTTACGCGTGCACATGGCAAGAAGACAGAGCGGCACATACTGAAGCATGGAAACAACGAGTACTTTGAAAAGACTTAGTGGGCGAAATGCACTGTATACTTGCACTTTAAGGCAAGAAGATCAGAGGAGATATAAAGACAAGCTAAGAATAAGTATATGAGACCGAACTGAACAAATCCAAAGCCCATACGAGACATGGGATGACAAGAAGAAACTTTGCTCAGACTCACCTCTGTCTACAGTAGGCACCGATCTGCTGGTAGACATTTATTCTTACTTCATTGAAAACCCAAGACCCTTCAGAAGGTCCGTGTTGAAAAACCACTGCGGTAAAGTGGCCCGGCTTTTCGCCGTTGGGTAAAGTGGTCCGCACATTAAAAGCGGGTTGCCCCTTTACACTGTTACTTACGGAAAACGTGGAAAAGAAGCCCGTGGGGATGAGCAACCAGAATGCATTGTTTAAAATTCATCATCACAGTGAACAAGTGTGCAGTGATTTTTTTTATGAATTTCTATCCCCTCATCCCCCCGGCTTCCCTTTCTACGTTTACCGTAGGTAACAGCATAAAGAGGCAACGGTGGCTGAGTGGATAGCACTCTCGCCTCTCAGCAAGAAGGTTCTGGGTTCAAATCCCGGTCGGACCAGGGCCTTTCTGAGTGGAGTTTGCATGTTCTCCCCGTGTCTGCGTAGGTTTCCTCCGGGTACTCCGGTTTCCCCTACCACTAAAAATATGTACAATAGGTCTGGCATGCGCCTCCTGTTCGGCGACCCTGCTCCCATCTCTGTGTGGAGTGAGAGGACAAGTGCCCAAAAATAAGAATTGTAAACCGCTTTGTGACTCTGTCTGTGAAAGGCGGTATATAAATAAACATTACTTACTACTTAAACCCGCTTTTAATGTGCAGACCACTTTACTGCGGCCTTTACAACCGACCACACAACAAGACTGGACCATTTGATTTAGTAAAACCTCTCTCCAAACGTCAAAAACTAGCAAACTCTCTAGCATCCAGGTAGCTTTCTATGCTGTTTTTGCCACCCAGTCACGTGACTGGTGTGGAAAAACTATAAACAACGACGTCACTCCAAGATCCTTCTATTGGTGTCATGGCAGATGCTGAGGGGAGCTTCCATATTTTTTTTAACCTTGGTATAAAACCATGAGTTGAGTCACTTATTCGCTGTACCAAAAATAAAACATGTCCTCTACTGAGACACAGTCTCAGACCAAATCTTTTGTCAATTTCTTCAACAGGTGGAGGATGCTGGCATGTCTGAACATCTACGGCTAAAAATCTACTGGGTTTTTTTCAGTCAAGAGATCTGGACCTGTGCACTTGCAAAACTCGGGCAGCCCCTGATTCAAATCAAGCTTGCCACTCAATGGACACAAATTTTCAACTTCAACTGTTGTCTTTATTTATAAGAATCACTGTGATAGTAATTTTTCTCTCTTTTTAAATAATATATTTCCATATTATATAACCCTCATGTTGTGTTAAAGGAATAGGCCACCGTTTTTACATACTGACATATGTTCTTATTCTCATGAGTTCAACTACTGCTGGAGACCCTAACACAACAGGGTTAAGATAATCTCTCCAGATCACATTCTTTACATCTTTGTGCCTTTGTGACCGCCTCTTATTAGATTGAAATCCAAATCGAAACCCAATCGTGTCCCATTTCTAGTTGGGAGAATTTTTATTTAAGAATATTTTTCTCCTTAAAGGCTGCACTATTATCATGAATCACAATATTTGGCCATGTTATAGTTGTTTCCCCTTGTTATTTACGAACACCAAGATGTTTTTACCACAATTCATACATGTTTGAGCTATTTATATCCTCATATATGCACACTGCCATGGCTCTCCCCTCAGTCCTCTGCTCTCACTTCAGTTCTCTTACCAAGTACCCTCGGTACAATGACAACTAAACAGAACTGACACTGATGTGTCAAAACCTCCCAATTGACTAATGAAGACGTTTGGTTTATGTTTTTTGATTTTATAAAGTTTGATGATGAGTTAGCCTGCTGCTGTGTGCACCCGATTCATATCAAACTGCATAAAAGCATCAAAATTTATAGTTTTGTATGGCTTTGGGACCAATCACAGAATGGGAAGAGATGGCAAGACTATGATGACGCACTATTGGAAACATGAGGGAAGCTTGCAGAAGAATCTTCCCTCATGTTTCACTTACACAAATGGCATCTTTTTTTGCTTCCTCTTCTCGACAAATTTCTGTCGTTCGCCATATGTTATTGGGTGATTGGTATGATTGATGTATACGTACAGACGCATATGATAAACTGTCAGCGCCAAATAAACAGCTATCAATGATCATAAACCACACAGTTCCCATTAACCCCGCAGTTGGTGTTTCAGCCGCTATGACAAGGACGTTCATGTCAAAGAACGGTAAGGGCAGTCTCTTTTATCCAATTATGGATAAAAAAAATTAACAAAAATGCTGCAAGTCCCTTTTTGTTTCTCCCATGTTTTTTTTATTATCTTAGACATCAAAGAAAAAAACGCTGGAAGAGCCACCCCAGTAACCAGCTGCGTTGTGTGCCGAAAGCAGACTTGACGATGTTGACGATCATGGTGAGGACTATGAGGCCTGTGAGGAGGTTGTTGAGGAAGTTAAGCAGGCGCTGGTACGAGGGGAGGAGCCTGAGTTCACAGCGAGCTATGTTGACACACACACAAGACACACACAAACACACACACAGGTCTATGGTTGGTTCCGTGGCGCAAATGAATAATAACAATGGTGACACATGGGTTATGTCAAAGAGGTCAGGTAGAATTATTGGATTCCTCTTTTTTTCTTCCAGTCAGACAAATGCAAGTTGTTATGTTTTCAATAAAACATAGAACATAAGTGGGATTGATTTACCTTAACATGACTGGGCTTAGGGCTGCACAATAGTAATTAAGTAGTATAAGTAGAAGTATAACTCATCATCTTTCAAGCTGATGGAAGGAGGCCATTGAAATCAGAAAGCAGGGCAACAACAGCATCAACCTGGAGCCTTCCTCCGGTCACACACACGTGACACCCTCCTCCAGAGACCGGCAGGCGAAAGGGGCGTGGTCAGTCTGAGCAAACTGCCAAGTCAATCAGTTGATAAATGACATGTCACCAAGGCGGGTGACATTTCTGAAGAGGGCTTGCATCTCTTTGACCGAAACATGTTCACAATGTAATGACTTGTCTTTCCAAATAACCACAAAAAGTATTTTACTTCAAGACAAAATTAATCTTTTTGAGTTAGGATATGACCTGATTGTGCGCTCTATAATATGATAATCTATGAGCCTCATGGCCCTTTGTTAAACATATGACTCATATGAAATGTTGAGTCCTTGTGAGTCCTCTTGTCCCACATAGCCCGCGGAACAAGCTCAAATGTGATGCAATCTTTGAGAAAAAATGTATATACAAGATAGGTGAATCCTCCCCATATCACAAAATTAAACCCAAAGAAAGTTAAACCCGGGAAGGGGCTTGATACCGGTGGTCAGAGGACTGAGAGAGGACTGGCAGTGTGCGTAATAGAGGATATAAATAACACAAACATGTATAAATCATGGTAAAAACAGTGTTGTCTGTAAACGAGAAAGGAATAATAAAAACCATAACAAGGCCAAAAGCTGATAAAAGTCCATTTTGAGTTTGTTTCCCTCTTAAAAAGAGTAAAAATAAATACTTAAATAAATACTGTACATATTCACCGATCATAGTACAAACATTCACTGCAAAACATGTTTTCATTTAGTGTAAAAAAAAATTTTTCTCCATATTTTCACACAACATACTTTAGTTCAACCCGAGTTGTGAGACGCATTTTGATTTTGAAATATACACACTGTAAATTATGAGAAAGATAAAAAATACTTGCATTGACAAAATATCTTTTATAATATACTTCAAGTCAGTTTTGGATTATCTCCCTTTTTGTCTGCAACAAACTTTAATCATTGTAGTCTTTGCGATTTGCTAATTGCGACCACACAAATTGCAATGTCTATTCGATTACAATTGTGCAGTGTTGCTTTGGTGACACATCTGCCATATCAGATCACTGCAAACAAAATGATCAGAGGCTGGAAGCCAGATGCAGGCACCGTCCAACCTTCCTCCTTTCCACACACGGAGAGCATCTCTAATCTATCATCTCCTCGATTCAACCATTTCTCTACTGGAAATGTGAAAGAAGTTGGACCCAGAAGTTGTTTCAACTCTAATCCAAATGCAAGTTGTTTACTCTTTGTTTCTGTAAATCATGTACACATTCTGACGTTCATCTTCACAGGTGTGGTCAGTTTGAATGTCCCCCAGGTACATCAGGCTGACCACACTAAGAAGTAAGGAACACTCTACTTTATTATGTTAAGGTAAATACATCCCACTTATACTGTAAGAAATAGGAAATCTGTCATGACTGAAGATGAAGATTCACCAAGGAACTATTAATTGTGTTAGTTTAGGGCTGCAAGATCAATCAGAATGTTATAGTGCAGTGGTCACACAGTATAAACCTGTATGTACAGTAACCTGTACTGTATGTACAGTATCACTCAAACAATCATCAATTATTATTGAAAAAATAAGAGCAATGTAAATCAATGTGGTATACAAATATTAGTTGCCGTTTTTCCCCCATTCCTTAGTATGACTTAGAATTCACTGTGATAATATACATTTGTTTGACAGATCAACATGGTACATGCAAAACTGTGTTTTAACCATGCATGTAAAAACAATGTCAAACAGAGCTAGAGTGGGTTATAGTTACATTTTACATCAATATTTTACAAGTTCTGCCACAAATAAAATCATCCCAAACCCAATACAATTCTAAAATATTGGGAACTGAAATTTAGAATTGTATTTCCCCATAACTCCTGTGGGATTTCCTTGACTGTCTAAACTCTGCTCTCTAGTTCAGATGATTTTATTCACGCACATTGGTCAAAAGTGCATCCTAAAGAGGCCGGTGCGCTCCATGCCCATGGTGCAGATGAGCAGGTTGGTGACAAAGATGATGAAGACGAGGGCAGTCAGCCGATTGTTCAGGCTGTTAAGACGCTTGTGATTGGCTTCCACGTTTAGATCCCGGCGAGCTGTAAGAAGGACAAATGGACATGCACCTATGCACCCAGGGGCTGTTTCAACACTGCATTTGCACTGGCCTGCAAGGAATGTTGCTTACAATCAACCAGGGAGACCGAATTTATGTGATGAGGGGACACTAATGAAAATTTAGCCACAATGTCCATCCCAATTTATGACTAGTCTCAGTATACATGCAGACTCAGACCTCTCTAGTCCCAATATACATACAGGCTCAGACCTCTCTAGTCCCAATATACATACAGGCTCAGACCTCTCTAGTCTCAGTATACATACAAGCTCAGACCTCTCTAGTCTCAGTATACATGTAGGCTCAGACCTCTCTAGTCTCAGTATACATGTAGGCTCAGACCTCTCTAGTCTCAGTATACATGCAGGCTCAGATCTCTCTAGTCTCAGTATACATGCAGGCTCAGACCTCTCTAGTCTCAGTATACATGTAGGCTCAGACCTCTCAAGTCTCAGCAGGATCAGACCTCTCTAGTCTCAGTATACATGCAGGCTCAGATCTCTCTAGTCTCAGTATACATGCAGGCTCAGATCTCTCTAGTCTCAGTATACATGCAGGCTCAGACCTCTCTAGTCTCAGCAGGATCAGACCTCTCTAGTCTCAGTATACATGCAGGCTCAGACCTCTCTAGTCCCAATATACATACAGGCTCAGACCTCTCTAGTCTCAGTATACATGCAGGATCAGACCTCTCTTGTCTCAGTATACATGTAGGCTCAGACCTCTCTAGTCTCAGTATACATGCAGGATCAGACCTCTCTAGTCTCAGTATACATGCAGGCTCAGACCACTCTTTTATGAATTTGGATGCAACATCTTATTTTAGTTTTATTTCCATGGAAGCATTTTTGCATTGAAGCTTTGAAACTGACATCTACTGCGCTCTCACATAGAGAGACCACCACTACAAAACATATCTGGAGTCTTCGGTCTAAAATCGCTCAGACAACTATCACCTCAGTCAACGACAAATCAAAAGCGATGAAACCTAAATAAGGACATATATGCAATTCTCTCTCTTTTTTTAAATTATTGACTAAAATTGGACCTCACAGGTTTTCCTGGTATATACGTAGAAACTGAATAATAAAATGAAGGATTGAACATCCAATGTGTCGACAAGGATATACTGGTTAAACCTGGACAGCTAGAATATTGTTCAAAGTCCATTTACTTCTGTAATTCAACTTGTGTGAAACTAATATATGAGAGACTTTATATTGTTAAAATGGACTGTAAGCCATAATCATCCAAATTACAACAAAGGCTTGGTATATGTCACTCCGCAGGTATGAATTATTGGTTTCATATTTTAAGTAGAATAAAATAATAAACTTTTTAATTATATTCTAATAATCTGAGTTCCATCTGCAAGCTTCCCAAAATAGTAAAAAAAAATCCTTCCCTTCCTACACCTGAAAAACCTCCCATGCAGCACAACCCACTCAGTGTCCCCTCCTCACTGGAAAGGCCTATTGTCCCATGTCTACAATATGTATAGCCTCCGTCTCTCCTGGTTGAAAGCATGCAGAGGGAGTTAGTGTGTTAAAATAGTTATTCACAAAGGGATTGGGGGATTGCAGCATGTTCTGGGTGCTCCTAATGGAACGTAATGTAATAAGGCTTACCAATGATGACAATAAGGACACCAGCTATTATCTGCAGAGCCAAGGAGAAGGAGATGAGGGTCAGGACTGCAGCGTAGTACCTGAAGAGAGACAATATAAGTAATCATTAAAGACGTTTGTTAAATTATCTTCATTTGGTTGGTTTTTCTCAGTGTCAGGGATGACGGATGCTTCATTATTGTGACAAAGTATCTCATTCAACCCTTTCATGATTTCTACAGATCATCAAAAGAGTAAGATATTTTTTGTATATACAGTAAATATATTAAGTAGTAGTAGTAGTAAGTAATCTTTATTTATATACCGCCTTTTCACTGCACATCGGAGTCTCAAAGCGGTTTACAATTGTTATTTTTGGGAGTGTCAAAGTGTTTTTCCTGATTTTCCTTTCTGGTTGACTTTAAAATGATTTTCTTTGTATTCCATTCTATATAATAGTCTTTTCAGAGATAATTATGATGATGGAATCGGTTATTTTAGATCCTAATGAGTGATAGTCTTGGTCAGGATTAGTGGTGTTAAACACTCAGTCCCAGTTTTTAATTTGACCATGTAGGATCAAGTAAGGAAGGCTTTCGGTTGTTTAGAACATTCACTTTTCTCCTTATACATTAGAGAGGTATTCTTATCTCTTAGAACTGCTTTCACCATATGAACCCTAGCAGCAGACTCTTCACAATTCCAAAAGTCAGGACACACATTCACGGTGAGGCACCTTTCCACCCCCACGGCCCCCGTCTCTGGAGCAGTCTGCCAGAGGAGCTCAGGGCCGCAGAGAACATCAGAATCAGAATCAGAATCAGAATCATTTTTATTGCCACGTAAGTAACAGAACCTTCATATTTTCAGAGGCAGGCTCAAGACGCACTTTTCAGAATTGGATTTGTATTCATTATAGGCATTCTATATCATTTATTTTATTTATCTTTTAGACACAATTTATTCTACATGATTTAGTTTTTGTCATTTACTATTGTCATTAATAATATTAGCGAGGTGCCATTTTCTTTCTAGTCTCAAATGTTATTGTTTTAATTTGGCAGAAAAATAGATTATCTGGATTATAGAATTCACAGTTGCGGATTTCTTTGTATTCTCATTCAAGCTCATCCACTTCATTAGTACGATGCATATTAATCAGACCTATAGTAAGATCTGACGTCATAGTACCCCATATGTACACACACACGCGCGCGCACGCACGCACGCACGCACGCACTCACACTCACAAATTAAGATCAATTTAGGTATGTCAAAATGTATTGCCATTTTGTGTGTCCTTAGGCAAGAAACTTTACCCACATTGAGTGTGAGTCGTGGCGATGGAGGAATTTTCTTCCCTTTGTGTGTGGAGTGAATGAATAATGCCATGTGAAGTATCTTTAAGTGGCATGAAAAGTTACACATAATATTATGTCAGGGGAAAGGGACTACTTTATTTAGCCAAATTGTAAGCATAACTTCCCATGCAATTTACAACCCAAACACGCACACACATGATCTTATACCACGCACACATATGAGCTAACAGCACGCACACACACACAGAGGAAAGAAATGCGCGAGAGAGGTGCAGTGGTGCAACACAATTTAAAAAAGCCTTCATCCCTATGCGATTCTGGCTCAATCAAACAGGCAGAGGAAGCTTGTTATCTTAAACGAAGTGATGTAGACCTCATGCATCGCTGTTAGTCCTGGGATACCAAAATCAGTGAATATTCCAATGCCTTGCTGAAACAGTCACTAAACAAACTAGGGCCTGGGTCATTGGACTAGTCTTCATCACATACTGAGCAGTGCTTGTTTCACCTGTAGCCTGCTCCCTGCTCGATGACCGTCTTCATGTGGGTGATGTTGGCCAGAAACAGAGCAACGTCCAGCATGCCCTCTGCTGCCGTCTTCTTGGTGGCGTACTGGTTCATGTTCAGGACGAACGGGGGCGCGCCCTGCACAGGCAACACATCAGGTCAACATGTGAAGATTCTTGGATATTTAGAAACAATTGGCTACGAACCAGGCCAGAAATAAAGCATATCAATATGGAAGGGGACACTTTATTTACTGTCAAATATATTGAATTTGACTTATTTATTTTTCTCATTAATGTTTAAATACTTTTATTGAAACTAGTACCTAACCACAACATGCTGTCGGCCTTTCCACTTACACCGCACAGCACTAATTATGACTAAATATTTTTGCCTAGCCATGTTAAAGGTACACTGTGTAATATTTAGTGCCATCTAGCGAGATCTTATATTGCAGTCTATTAAAGTACGGACCCTTTGAGTTGAGGAGCACTGTGAAAGACAGAGCTCCTCAACTCTCAGTCATTCATCAGACTGCCAAGGAAGGAATACTTTAGTTTGATAAATGACCTGATCCCTCAAAACGTCTCAGGCACTTGACAGTCACGTGGAGGTGGAGGTCAAAACATTCACTCACGCTGCTGATAAAGTTTTCTGGCGATTGTTTTGTGGGGATTCTGTGTGTTTTATTTGAGGCTTTTTCCCTGAATAAGTTTAGTGTAAACTTGTGACAGTAGTTGGACTGCGCTTGGATCGGGTCAGAACATTCTGAGACTGTGTTGCAGATTCTGCCTTGTTCTCATTATTGTCAGTGTGAAAAAAGTTACGTATTGTTCACGTGTGAGTCTGTTGTGTACAAACTACACGATGTGCCTCCTGTTGTGTTAACGCCGTCTTTCGGTGCGTGTGGTTTGCGATGTTGACACTCTGCTGCCATGACGCTGGACTTCTGCATAATTATTTTTCCAAAAGATTGTTGTTCGGATCGCCTTTTACATAACTGTGGTTCAATGTTCTTTTACATAACTGTGGTCCTCCATGGTTCCTTCTTACAACTTGTGAAGGCACGGTGAAAGCAACGATATCAGTAGCTCATGTCAAACAAAAACGCGATTCTCGCATCCTTTTTGTCCCTTATCCACCACCGTTTGTCAAGATGGCACATTGACACGGAGAGCACTCCTCTCTCATGGACATTTATAAGTTAAATTCTAAGCCTATGAATACAATTCAAAAAACATGGTGGAGGTAAATATTCTTAGTTAACATGTTTTTGAATATGGAGCAGCTGTAAAAATTACACAGGGTGGCTTTAACAACAACATGTCCAAACAATTAAAATTAGTAATTTTTGCAGATGACACAAATATTTTCTTTGCTAGTGATAATTATGGTAATCTAGTATCTGTTTTAAACAATGAATTATCTAAACTAAAAACATGGATGGACATCAACAAGTTATCCCTGAATTTAAATAAAACAAAGATAATGTTATTTGGCAACTACAACAATAATCTAAAACCAGTAATAAATATAAACGGGGTAGTTTTAGACACAGTATCAGAAATTAAATTCCTAGTAACTATTGATAGTAAATTAAGATGGAAACCACACATAAGACACATTCAAGGCAAAGTCTCCAAAAGTATCTCAGTTATTAATAAAGCAAAATTCTTTTTAAATCACAAAGCATTGCAGTTACTATACTTCTCATTAGTTTTACTTACTGTGTAGAGGTTTGGGGGCAATAACTATAAAAGCTCTCTACATCCCCTTGTTATACTCCAAAAACGTGCTGTAAGAATTATACACAAGGTAGGATATTTCAATCACACTAACATTTTATTTTTTGAGTCAAAACTGTTAACATTTGTTGATCTTGTTGACTTTTGTACAGCTCAGCTTATGTTTAAAGCAAATAAAAAAATACTACCAGCAAATATCAAAAAAACATTTTTTGCACAGAGAAGGGGGATATAATTTGAGGGGGTGTGGTAACTTTACTATTCAAGCAGTGAGAACCACTAGGAGAAGTTTGTGTGGGTCTGTATGTGGTGCAAAACTTAATCAATCAAAATACAAAAAACTGGCTTTTCAATGTACAGGATTGTGAATGTGGGTGTTTGAGAAGGGAGTTTGAATGTAATATTGATCTATCTATCTATATGATGTATCTATATTGATGTGATCAGTACGAAGTTTATAGGAATCATTACATCACCTTATAAAAATCCAAAAAATAAATCCATAACTTAAAAAAAAAATAGAAAAAAAAAGATGACCGACTAATCTAATGGTGCAGATTGAAGCGAGAGAATTGGGCACATCCAACACTACATAAAGTATAGGACCGGCAAGTGGAGGATCGCAGCTTGAGGATAGCCCCCCTTGAGCAGGGAACTCGCAATCTTGTCTTTTAATGCACAGAACAGGACACACAGCTGTAAGTGCTGCTGCTGTTCTCCTTAGAGCAGCTCCACAGTCACACCTTCTTTATTGAATATGAACACGTCCAAAACGGAAACTTGTTCCATCTGCACCAAGTGGATTACCATTGAATAGTTAAAGTCGAGGGTTTTGGATTTGCCATAATTTCAACTAATGTATTATATATAACATAAAACTAATAAATTATGCCAATGAATAACTCTTTAAGGAACTCAAATTACATAAAACACATAAATATTAATAAACAAAACAATTAAACAAATAATAATAATTCTGATTTTGCAAAAAATGTGTGTATATATGTAAGTACAGTATGTATTAATCTATGTATGTGGAAAGACACCAAAACTAAGTTAAGTAAGGAAATGTAGGAACAAGGGGTTGGATCACATAAGTCTTCTTCTTCCCACTCCTTTTTGAGCCAATAAATAAATGTTGAACAGATCCTCCCTGTACCTCTTTGTTTTGTTTTGTCCTTCATTTGTTTCCCATATGTGGGTGCAGTGATTTCCGTATCGTGCAGAATGTTATCATTTGTTTTGTTTGGCTCAAAATAAAGTATTCAATCAATGAAATGTTCGATGTACAGTAAACACGGCATACAAAAATAGTGCTAATTTAGACACCAAACACATTTATCATTCATATTTCTGTTAATGATGGTGAATACAATCCCAATGATTAGCATATTGTAAAATCACATGTTATGTGATTGCACTGGTAAATTTGGTAGGAACAAATGTTATTTCAGAGTTTGCCCCTTCAGCTCAAATAAGATTTCCCTATCCACACTTGTTAACTTTGTACGGTGAGGCATTCGGTTCTGCAGCCTCCAGTGCTGGGTTCCCTAATTGTCTTTCTGTACAGTGTATGAATGTGTGAGTTTTGATGAGAGTGCCTTTTAACTAATATCAAAATAACCAAACAAAAATTGGAACCCTTTACCAACTTTGTTTCTGTCTTTCAGTTACTTATCTGCGTTAGTCTTTACATTTATTTATTTAATTTCCTTCAGGGTGGCGTTGTTGGCAAAAAATGTCTACAGGAGTATTTAAAGTTATTTTCGGATCCCAGTAATCTACTGGAACATGGCCGCTACAAAGGCCTAAAACTCACACTTCCTCAGTACACTTACAGCCTTTTGCATCTCTGAAAGCTGCAGTTTTCATCTCCATGTACAGATCCACTGTAGAAAAAACAAACTAAGCAATACCGTGAAGAACGTGTGTCTAAAATAAGTGTTAATCAAATAAAGCATTATTGCTTAATGATTGAAGAACACCTCAGATAGTCAGAAACCTAACCCATTCCTGGAAAAGTTCTCACATGTACCCACAGAGGGCAGCATAGACCATCTTACAAGAGGCCATCCCAGAATTCTATCTGAGTAGTGATGTGTGGGTGATAAACTGCATGGACATGCAAAAAAATGTAGATGCTGTGGTTTAAAGCCAAAACGCATTTTTCTGAAGGTGGGATATCACACGCAGAATCCTCTGAAAATGCTTCTCAAAGTCAGGATTTTATTATGTTCTTTATGCCAGAAAACATTCAAGTGAATAATCACATAATTCCGGGGTTTTCTTTTTTTCTCAGCTAAACAGTTATGTACATGATGTCTCTTCTATTTTGCAACATGTTGTTTCCGTTTTTGATTTAATTGTTCATTAACTTGTAAATGTCTTTTCTGTTGTGAACCAACCACACATGTCAACATGCGTGTCTTTGTGTTGTGGACTGTTTGTTACAGAACTATAGTGTTGAGATATTATTCAAAGTCATTCATGTAGGGTTGGCACAAAGTGTTCTTTATGAGCTCACTGTTCAAACATGCGGCTGTGGCCAAAATAAACATGGAACCTAAACACAGGGTACATATACAGTCGCAGCAACCATGTGACCTCTCACGTTTGTGTTATACAGTATATATGCAACTTATTTGTCACTTTGGATTTGTTTGTTTGTCCGTTTTTGCACACACAAATAAGTCAAAAGTGACAAATAAGTTGCACTATGTACTGTAAGGAGAACTTGTGTTGGGTAAGTTACTCTATATCTAGAATACATGTTTATGTTACTAACTACTGAGATAAAAATACAAGTAAATACACATGAATACTAATACTATTGTACTACAGTATTACTGTGTTACTTTACTGAGTTACTTTTGGTCCGGCCCACAAATGATATCACACTAATAGTGTTTGAATGTTTTTTTTCAGGAGCAAGAACCCATTTTATTATGGTCATAGTTCCGCACAAGTTATCTTTTGTAACATAATTAGGCTTGTGCCCCAAGCAATTACAGAGTGAACTGAAATTCTATTTGGAGAGCACAAAATGCTGTTTTTCTCTAAAGATTTAACATTTCCAAAAATTCATTCTGCGTTAATTGGAAAACTAAAATAGCTCTTGAATTTCAGTTAAACGGTGCATGAGTTGTGGGACTGCAACTGTTAGTTCTTTCCTTAGCGAAAAATGAAAGTCCCCATGTTATTAACACTCACGTATAGACCATAATCATTTCAATTTAAGTTTTTCCTCCATGAGAGCTGCGATGAGCGTGTGTCAGCGGCGCCTCCTTCTGTGGGAGATGCTGCAGAGTCAAGGCTGCATCTCTGCCATTTTTCACCTCTTATTTCAAAGTTCTAAAACAGCTGTGGATTGAGCCAAAATGTCTCTGTGACGTCGCCAAATCCTTTGTGACAAATCAGGGAAATAAAAAGTCAACAATGAAAGTCTGTAGAATAAACCAATAATAAATAAATGACTTGTTCCATCAGTTATATCATTTTTACCCCATAACATGATCTTGTGAATAATTTATGTGAAATCTTTTATTTGTAAATTGTATATATGAATATGATGAACAATTGAGAAAGAGTTCAATAGAGTAAGCTACCTTCCTAGCTAGAGGCAGACATTTGGAGAGTACATGTAGCAAAGGAACAATGTTGAAAATAACAATTTTGCATATCACAAAATGAACTATTTTATAATTAACAGTATAAATTCAATGCAGAATCCTAATGAATCATTTATGTGCGACCGCATTGTAGCACACCTGTCATCTGTTCCAGGTTAAGAAAATACCAAAACAAAAAAGACTTTTGCAACAAATCCTGTAATCTGGCACTGACGAACAGACCCATCCCGCTCAGAAGATTTGTACATAGAGAACCAGAACGGCTTCATTTCCAAGAAAGTATGAAGTCATTCTGTGAAACGTGAGGCAATGAAAACACAATGACCACATGTACGATGAGAGTATGTGTGTGTGTGTGTGTGTGTGTGTGTACGAGGCACAGGGAAAAGCGGGAGGGACCAGGGAGCAAAACACACTGTAAAATATGCATGTGTATGTTTTTTATTTACTACCTTTATACACTAAAATATTATGACGTGTATCTTTGGTAGTAACAAACACACACATGCTGTTTCCTGATGGGCACATATACTGACTAATGAAAAGGCTTGTTGCCGAACGTTGTTAAGTCTGTGTACATCCAACCTTCAAACACATCCTCATGTGGCCATCAATCTTTACTTAAACTTCCACTATAGGAATACAAATCCTATTGGTACTGCACTACTTCATTTTAAAACAAAATTGCACAACCACTGTTCTTACGCACACACACTTTAAAAATGTATATAACACACACAACACACACACACATACACACACACACACACACACGCACACACACACGCACACACACACACACACATACTGTACACGCATACACACACACACAATGCAGAAAGCACAAAGCTTGGCCAAATGGCAGTTGTCCTGTCCCTATCTGTCGTCAGGACTAGGTCTTTGTCTGGATCCGGTCCCAATGGCCCTCTGGCTCTGCACACTCTCTGGTCCACACTATTGCTCTATTTAGTCCATGAGTCCTTTACTTTGTGTGTGAGCGTGTAACATAAGAGAAGACAGAATTTAATGACATTATACTTAGACCTATTGATCCAAAAAGGCGTCATTAAAGACATAACTCTGCATTGATTTGCAAAAAGTGCATAGCAGATCAGTGTAATTTTTTCCAAAATGCTTCTGCCTCAAAAACTTTCGTGCTGCTGAAGGGCTAAATAAGGATTGTCACAAAAATGATTAAATGAATGAAGGAAAAAAATATCAAGTATTGACAGGAAACTTATCTTTTACAGGAGTAATAAAAAGATTGAATACCTTCCTTTCTAGGTATGTCTAGTAGGTAAAGTAATTAATGTTTACGCCAATAATGGTCTGTTATGTTGACAACTTACTGTCATCACCGTTATTAGAAAAATTTGGGCTGAGAGCTGATCCAAAGAAGTGACAGAGGCCCAAAAAATGCATGCATGAGAGAAAGCTAGTTATGAGGCTAAAGACTGGTCTGGACTGGAAATGCTACATTGTGCATCAGTGCTCCCCATCAGTCAATCACACTCAGCTGGCAGCTCCACGTTGCCAAGTCTCACCTGGCAGCATATTTGCACCATTATCAAGTTGTTATCAAGCTTTGATATCGAGCAAAAGGCTTTTATTCATGCAGCAAACTTTTATTCGTGCAGCAACCCTCCTCCTTCCCATCAGCGCCTCATCAGTCAGACCAGCACGTCAACCCTTCTCTTTGCTACCACTACCAGGGAAAGGCCCAGGGGGATATTCATCTCATAATTTCTATTTTCCACATGTGTATCGCCATGCAGTGTCATAACTAACAAATCATAACTGCATTTCACAAACACATGTCTGAATGCTAGTTAGTGTAGTAACAGATTAACTGCCAACCAATAAATACAATTCTAATATCTCCTCTTGTCTGTTTGACTCTCTCCACATTGAAATTGGAAGTTTGACAGTTTTGACACATTTTATTGTAACTATGTAATTTAGCATATTTTGATCCCCTTTTTTGTCTGATGGAGTGCCATCTTCTTTGCTTTGGAATGTTCCACTGTATGGCTTTACTTATGTGAGCACATGCTCAGAGAAATTAACATTTCATAAAAAACAGTTCTCAAGTTCAATGAGAGGTTACATCCATAGCAACGGGGGTAAAAAACATAACTCCCCCATGTCAATAATATGCATTGAAAGAGGCCCACTATTTCTAATTTCTAATAGTTGAGTGCATTATACTGTATATTTTAGATTCTGAAAACTACACAAATCATAATTTTGATTGATTTATGTTTTGCAGTGCAGAAACAAAGGGGTTATATTGAGCTGTTCAAGCGCACAGAGGAGGAGTGTGAAGGAAAGTATGTACATTTAGACACTGGCTGCCTTCCATCTTTTCTCACCGAGGGATTTATATGGTCACATTTGATAAACATCAGCCGCGGGCGCGCTGCCAACACACACACAGGGTTTTTAAGGCTTTTTTGGGACGGCAATGATATAGAGTTAACAGACTTACACACTTACCCTTATTGTTCAATTTGAAGATTTAAACCCATATCTGTTCTGACTTTAACACACATCAACATGCACTCAAGGTTTTCAAGCTAAGTGGGAACATTACATAGTTGTTTATTATTTTGAAATGATTCCACCAATTATTTGACGAAAACCAACATAGTTGAGGCAATAAAATCAAATACCTGAAAATAACATAGACCTCAAACGGAGTACACACGCAGAATATAATTTGTTAATCCAAAACAAATGTTCTGTGATTCTGTATACATACATGCAGTACATGCAGTTGTTTTTTGCCAATGCAGGAAGGGCAGTGGTGATCACGGACATTTAAAAACATTCATACATTTTTTTATTATGTCAACATTGGTCATACCACTGCCTATTGGTAATGATATGCAATCTAATATTAAGCATTAATAATAATAATTTTCGCATGATGTACAACTGTAAAAGTAGCAGTAGCAGGCAACAAATAATCCATGAAGTAAAAGTAGGATTAGGAGTTGTTAAAACTCCTTTTGCTATTGCACAGACCCAGATTGATCCAATAACTTTTTATCCCTGAGCACCTGGAGCAGATTATGCACACAAAGCCACACACTGCTCTCATCCCAATCATGATGTTTAGATGCTGTTACCATTTACTGAGGTTCTCCAATTTATCCAAAGCTGTTTTAACTAGTTTGAACCACATTCACAAATTCAAAATTTCTTCCACCACTTAATTC